GACCCCTGTAAACCTCGTTCTACATGGGGCCAAATGGCAGAAAATCCTCTTCTGGAAAAGCAATCGGAAAAAGCTATGGAAATTGTGGAGTGCATTTTGCGTTGCTTTTTTTCAAAAAAATCCTATAGTGTATACTTAGCTTAAGAGATGAAGCAAGAAGACAGCTAGTTCCCCCTGTGACATCTTGAAACCAAAAGAGTAGAGTTAACTGCCAATCCTTATATACTGTTGGGATTTAATCTGGCCTATGATGGATTTCATATACTATAATCATAGTATATTCAGTTGACCAAAAGCACATTTGAAACCTCATGGTCACGGTAATACCTAATTCCCATAATAGCAGGAATCCATATTTTAGCAAAATATTTGTGTTTGTGGTGGTGTTTTCAAGTATTATTGGAAGAGGTACCTATTTTAATCTATGTTAAATTCATAATGAATGATGAAGTAAACTGAACTAATGTGATCTTGCAAAAATAAAATCTCCAGAGAAGTGGATATGAAGTAATCTTCTGGAGATTTCAGTAGTTAATTGGCTTTGTCAGTGTATAAATAATTGAGTAGTTACAGAAATGCAAAAAGCCAGATTTTATCTGATTTTATTTTGCCATGTGTGCTTACTTTTGTGTACAGGCCAGTGGTCTCAAACATTTTAGGTTACTCAGTACTGGGCAGTTCTGTGCACCATCCGTTTACTGAATCTGGGTTACTAAATTAGGATCTGAAATTGAATGTGCCGGCATAGGCAGTAAGTTATCATGGTAGTAGTGTACTGTGTTTCACCCTGAAAATATAGAGGCTATGACAACCTGAAGTAAAGTGGATTAAAAACAACAAAAAGTATTTATTTTATAGTACGTGTATGACTGACATGCTAGGGTATTCAGAGCTTAGCATATTGATGTTGAGTGGGTAATAAGTGCTAGTAACTGTAAGTAGGCTCTTGATTCAATGCAGAAGATCCATAGAATGTAAATATTTGTGTAGAATTTAAAGAGAATTAAGGTGCAAGAGAAGAGATGAGTAGAAATTGGAAAGAATTCTCAGTACCTACATGATGCAACATTCAGTTGGTGTTTGCAGCTGTGGAACTAGAAAGTGTGGAAAAAATAACCAGGGAAATAAATTACATTGCTATTAAGCAATTTACTCTAATTTGATAAAACTAGATGGGAGGAAGGTTAATCTTGTAAAGGTGAAGGATTGGGACTCTGGAGATTGGAGCTTATTTCTTACTTCTGTCAGTGACATCCAGTCTGATCTTGGGCATTTGACGCCGGTGAGTCAGTCCCCAGTCTGTAAAATTTGGATAAGTATTCCTTTCCTCTCACTCTGACTGGTTTGTCTATTTAGATTTGTAGGGGTGTTTGTAATTATGTGTTTCCCTAGCACACTTGATGCATGAATAAAGGGCCTATGTAGTACAACAGTACAAATAATAAACAACAATAGATTTTAAACTTTTTAGGTTAGGAACTATCTTATTATGTATAGGGATAGTGCTTAACATAATGGGGTCTCAGTATTGGTTGGGCCCTCAAGTCATTACAGCAACAAGTTCACTATGTTACAATTTTATTTTAAGACCATTCATTTTCCTATTTATTTTTCTTTGTTCCTCCCCAGGAGTTGCTGATTCTTTTACAGAATTTGCCCACAATGCACTGGGACAATGAAGATATTAGCGTCCTCCTCGCAGAAGCCTACAGACTGAAGTTTGCATTTGCAGATGCCCCCAATCATTACAAGAAATGAGCATAAAGAACCAGGATCTTTAACACCAGTTTCTTCTGGAGTATTGATGGCTTTCATTATTCAGATTTGCACTTTCATATAATTACTAATCATTGCATTTAAGTGAAGAATTCTGTGAGGACTTACAAAATGAGGGCAGAATACCAAAGAGATGGAGAGAGCAGGATAATGAACATTATGTTGGCATAAAAGTGAACTTCCATGCTCAACACATAAAAGCAACATAAGTTCTGTTAAGGTTTCATATTATTTCATATTCCTTCCTTTAATAATTATTGGAATTATATATAAATATACAATGCATTTTTGCATTAATCTCTGCCTGGTGATTGTCATGTGTCCATGAGCCTTAAAATCCGGTATGGGACTGACTGTGAGCTTGAATAATTATTCCTATCTAAGCAATACTACTCTCTGATACCTTTGCCTGCTTATATTTGTCTGTAGTAGGAATGATTCCCAATGGTAAAAACAAGGGCACATCATGCGTATGAAGGTGAATTTGGACAGTAGGGCTCACAAGTATTGGGTTTTTTTAACCTGTGAGAACATTTAAATATTATTTTGTGTTTTTACAGAGAACCAAAATATGGAAACTTCAGTATAACACAACATATGGTGGTATAATTTGTACATTTTCTACAAGTAATTAATGTTGTCCTGAGAGTTCCCTCAAGCCCTGCGCACCATTGTAACCACGTTAAGGATTTAAGTGGGGCTTAAGGATTTATGTTAGCACCCAATTAAATTCCCCCACATATTTTGGAATATTTCTAACACACTGAGTAAAGTGAAAAAATATGCTTTTTTGTCATAGTAAACAAAATCATAATTATTAAGTTTTAAAAGAGGTAAATATTTGTCAGCATGAAAAATCACTTGGAAGGGATTTATGTTCAGAAGCTTAGTTTACAGTGCAAAATGTTTTAAATGTCAGTTATTGCCTTATTATCCATTTCTAACGTGTTAGAAAAGGAAAAAAGTAATACTTGTTTGTTAACTAATTTGCTTGAGGATTTGTTTTCTCTCCATGATGCAGTGGAAGTGCAAAAATTGCTATTGTTAACAATAATGGTAACTATGTGTCCCAATTTCCTTTCCCCGACCTTGCAACATGAGAAGAATAAAACTCCCCCCCCCTCCCCTTCCAAAAAAAAACCCCCCAAAAAACTTCAGTTAATGTTCCTTCATGTAATTACAGGATTTTTAATGAATTTTTACACTCTGTTAATTTACTGTAAATGGAATATTTATTTTCAGGAAATCTTGTAAGATAGTTCTGCCTGCAGTTGAGAACTGCAAAGAGCACAATGTACTAAGAATTCAAAGTTATTTTACTTTAATATACTTCCAGACAGAGTTACAGTGTTAAAGGCACAAATCTAGACATAGCAATGCACTATTATTTTAGGCAAATAAAAAAAATCTTCAGGAGTGCTTTATCTTAAGATACAATAATAGCGAATTATTTACATTCTCTTACAAAATATCCAGTAAGTTTTTTTTTCTTTTGTGTTGTAAATTACCCGTTGTATAGGTCGTGGTTTTTGACAGTTTTTTTATTAATTTAATAGCAGAATTGAGATAAAGAAAATAAGACTAATTTTTACCAGTTTGGGCTATGGAATGTCTTTTAAAATGGCATAAAAGGGGAAGGAACTAACTGAAACAATTGATGTTTTGACATTGAAAGTATGATTCTGTTCTATTGAAGTCAAAGGGAATCAAATAAATTAGGATCAGGATTCCTGTATTATTGTATTTGTGCCTAAAGTACACAGTCCATGTGCCCATCTTAAATATCAAATGGTCCCTACATTTTTGTTTATCTTTAATGTGTGTCTAGAATTAACCTTAAGTTGACACAGAATGTCATATTGTGCCTAACAAAATAGCTACCATTAACAGAGTACATCCTGAAACTTTTATGTGACAATTTCTGGTAGTTATATCTGTAACTACCATAAATAAAAATAATCTGTTAATAGAAATTCAGATTATTATAACTAATTCAAAAGAGAAAAATACACAGCAGTAAGCACATAATTATTCTGTGAGATTTGTATAGTTAACTTGTTTATCAAGACATTATTTAGCAAGATACATGGAATATGAAAAGTTGACTCAAAATTATTTGCTGTGTTAGATGCTACTGTGTAACATTTATAAAGCTGGGTATGTATTTCTAAAGTTTCCTTCACAAGGTCCACTGATGATGACTGCTACGTCTTCCAAATTCAAGTGGTAAATATCACTTTCTTTTAAAGAAAATGCTGTCATGTCCCCAAAAGAAGCTATATTTGCTGTTGCACTCATATCAGAAATTAAAGATTATACTTATGCACATTGCTTTGTGAAGGTCCTTGGGAGTTTCCTAATGTACTGATGATATGTAGATGATATTTTAGAGTACATGAAAGGCTATTTTAGAGTACATGAAAGGCTAACATTTTTGTGTAAAATCTCTTCCAATTTATAATACCATAAAACGTAATACAAAAACATTTCACTTTATAAAAGTAATTATCCTTATGTTTTCATAATTATCCATCTCAGGCAAAGTGCCATTCCAACCAAGCTGTTAGGTACAGAGGAAATAACATTCTCTGTCATTTTTACCTCCAAAGACCTATTTTTCAATATAAAAAATGAGAATATTAAAATTGGTTTGTAATTTGTATTTTCTTATGGATCAAAGATTTTAAACATAGAGGAGGTATCTTAACACATCTTTAGTAAATCCAATCTGTAGTTTAATGAAATTGATATGACAATACGGAAGGTTGTGTTGTCTAAAAGGCAATGTGTTACAGGATTTTTGTAATAAAATTTACACTTTAGAGAAACAGCTTTATGACTTCAGTATTCACATAGTAGTGTAAATAATAAACAAATTAATCAAGTTTGTAAATATAATACATGAGAAAACATAAGATTCTAAGCTTCAACTCTTATGTACATCTCTAATACATTAAAATAAATCATGTTACAATGTTCCTTTTGCTTCTTTTCATATTGGAAAAAAACCTATGAATTTATATTTAACTTCAGAACTATAAAATAAAAGTACATAAAGTTCAGTTGTATTTTTGACAGATGAGTTTCAATAGACACTGCTTAAAACTGTAAAATTAATGGAATGAATACATACTTCTAAAGTAATAGTGTGTTATGTTGCTCAAAAAGCACTTTTAAAATCTGAGAAATTTTGAATTGTATCATTTTTTCTAGTAATAATACATTGTCAATCCTGTATTGCAAACCACTAAACTTAATGGGCCAAGTTCTGCTCTCATTTATGTTTCTGTGACTCCCTGCCTTGCAGACTTTACAAGCTAATAAGACAAGCTCCATACAAAGGCATATCATGCATTATGAGCCATACGAAGGGAAGCATAAGGATATTTCCATGAGAAGCAGATAAGTCGGGTATACTTTGCAGAGCAGAGGTGGTGGAGGATGGAAAACCAATAAAATCTAGGAGTGAATCGGTAGGGACTTGCAAAGTTGTGAAATACTTTGTGAAAGGGTAAGGAGCTTAAACTTAATGTGTGAAATAGCAAGAACCAGTGGAAGGATTGGGGTGACATGGGGGGAGGTGATGTAATAAGAACAGTGAGCTAGAAAGATGCACTTAGCAGCTGCATTCTGTTATGTACTTTGGAGGATGATAAAGGCATTAAGGTTGCCAAAATGAAGACAGAATGGTCAGGATAAGAAGTGATGAGAGAATGCGACTGTCTTGGTTGTCTAGACAGAAAAAGTATGGCTCAAAAATGCTTTGAAAAAAAAAGTGGATCTGCAAGGGCAAGAGAGAGGGAAGTGCCAAAGACAGTGAGGGATACAGGAAGAAATATTACCAATTTGAAGATCTCACCTTCAGTGACCTTTATGGCTCTACATCAGTTAAGCTCTTCTGAAAATCTTACCTGCTTAGTTTAGGGG